TACTGCCGCACACTGCCGTGCTGCGGCACGGCCACCTCGACGACGCGGCCATCTGCCAAACCGCATATGCCGCTGGCGGCCGTGCATGCGATCGCAAGCACCTCGCCCTTCTCCTCGCCCTTCTCCTCGCCCACCTGCGTTGCAGGCGCGACTTGGTCAGCACCGGAGCAATCGCGGGGCGCGACTGTTTCCGATTCGCCTCCTCGCCAACTTGCGCCACGCCCAAGCAGACGAGCGCGCCCGGTGGCTGGTTGCGACGACGCGTCCCCGGCTCGGCGAGCTCCCAGCTCTTGCACACGCCGTCCTCCGAGCCGGCCAGAAAGGCCCGGCCGGCGTCGCCGTACCACGAAAGCGCGCAAGCGCCTCCGTCGGTGGACTGCACCCCCGTGGCGAAGGGCGCCGCGTCAAGCTTCGACAGGGCGTAGAGATGGATGGCGCCCGAGTTGCGCCCCGCCACAACGAGGTCGCGGCTCGCAGAGAGGAGCAGCGACAATACGCCATCGCCCTCACCGCCGAGGCACGCGCGATGTGCGCGCTGATGAGCTCCTCGATATTCTGGCGAGTAAGGAAATCGCCGCTCGCCGCGGCGATCAGGTCCTCGATCTCTTTCTGTGTCAAATACTGTCGCGCCACCGCCGCCCGCAGCTCTGCCATCTCGTTCCGCATCGAGACCATCTCTCGCGTCACGGACGCGCGCCACAGCTCGAGGTCGAGCACCTGCTCACGCATCGCGCGTGCCTCCGCCAAGCCGGACTCCATCCGCGCCATCCAATCAGACAGCCCACCGAGCGGGCCGGCGAGCGGCGGCTCGGGCGCCAGCGCGCAGAACGCCATGGCGGGGCTAGCGCCCGCGGATGGAATGGCCGAACGTCCACCGAGGACCGGACAAAAGTTAGAATCTCCTCCGGCCAAGTGATCTGTGATCTGTGAGGGTCCGCCCGCAGGCGCATTTTGTATACCGAGGCGGTGCCCGGTGCCGAACCTGTCGGGCCTTAAGACAGCTTTGTAGATCGGTCTCGGGAACCGTCCCATACTACTCAAAAGTACTCGAGTACAATATACACACTACCACAAAGCACCACTAGCGATTTCGCGCGGAGGGCGTAGTGAAGCGCTGGGGCGCTCACTGTGTGTTATTCGGGTGGGGATCCATCAGTGGTAACCGGCTTTAGTCACAGGTCCAAGCTCAGACGCCACACCAACACCACAAACACGCTCACTTCGCCGCTGCTGTAGATTTGTCCCCACTCAAGGTTATGGGAGCGGCCATAACAGGTGTTATGGCTGTTATGGCTGGCTGCTCATAACACCTCATAACACCTCGTAACACCTCCATCGCTGTTATGGCTGTTATGCCCACCCTACCATAACACCTCATAACACCTCATAACACCTCATAGCACTCATAATACCTCCCACTGGTTGTTATGACAGCCAGCATTAACAACCTCATAACAGCGCTGTTATGACTCGGCCAAAACCTCATAACACCTCCCACTTTTTAGAAACCTCGAGACATGTAGTGGAAAAAGGAAAGAAAAAGGACGTGAGTTAAATTGCGGGAAAGACATACAAGTTAAAAACGGAGGGAAGCGTGCAGAGCTGCAGAGAGTACGAGTTAGAAACGGGAAGCAAATTGCGTGAGGGGGGGGGGGGGGGGCTGGTCTTGATTGAGCAACTTGAATCCATCGCTCAGCCTCCGGGAGGCAGGTATATGTTATTGAATTTAACCTTTGAGGGGCAAAAGAAAAAAATATTTGTGGGGGTTCTAGGGCCCGAACTCTAACCCTGCGCCGCGGGTATGCTCCCGAAAGGGGGAAAAATTTCCAGCGGCTAGTCTGGTTCGGGTGCTGGGCCCTCTCCGGTGCCATAAAAACCCCG